ATCTTTCAATACTGGGGGGAAATTGGAAAAGTCAAAATTAATTTTTTAACAAATTATAAAAACTTTCCAAAACATAACGAGATCTAGGCCCAAGTCACAAGGAAAAAAACCCATACCAGTTTCCCCAAGACTTGAGTTTGCCATTTATAGGTTATCTTGATTGCAGAACGAAATCTTGGGTACTGATAATGCTCACGAACAAAATGTCCGAGGATAACGTGTTAAATTAAACTCAAACGAGCTAAACATACTAGCTTTTATTTGAGTGACATAGAAAAATGGAGTGAACTTAATTCCGCTCTTATTCGAGAGGCATACACAAATAATTTGTATTTCTTACTCGCAGGAGTACCGCGGCTCAAATTCGAGTAGAGATTTAAAATCTCTTGAGTAGAAAACTAACTTGAAATGGAGCAGGAGTACTCCTGGGAGTAAAAACAAACAAATGAGTACTCTCTATTTTTCATACCTCTCGAACAAGAGCGAACGATCTGTGCTCTTTTTCGAATTAGACTGAAATTCGCTCGAAATTGAGCAGATTCTATTCTTGCCGAGTAATTTGTTAGGTTTTGACAAACCGTTGCTCTTTGTATGTTTGTTCGCTTTTTTCAATATTCTCATTCTATTATTCCTCCCTGCTTGGCCTTTATACACGATCTATACAATACACTAGAACATAGACTTGCATCGCTTATGTGAACTGCAGATGGCGGCGACTCTCGTGAGTAAACTTAAATTTAATTTATTGGGGAAAATATTGAAAACAAATTCAACAATTTTTAAAACTATCAACGTTTTATGAAAGCTTCGCCAATCGAAAAGACGGAAATATAGACAACGTAAACCGCGGCTCTAGTGTAAGTGCTTCCGGCATAATCCACAATGACAAAACAACAAAAGTTTGAATCAGCCACTGGCTCCTCAAACGAGTCGAGCTTGCTATATTGAAGCAAACTGAAGAGATTAGTTTGACAACCTCCCAAGCTTCAGGAATCGTGACACTGATCAACTTACAAAAGCCACCTAACATGAGAGGGTACAGAGGGCACAGAGGATTTTAAACAGAGCTAATGTCTTCAATAAGTCTCTCACAGATAATTCCGAGGATTAAAAATTGAAGAAGAGGAACATACCTCAACTTACGCCACCGCCTTTGCTTCGGTCTTCAGAAAGATTGAATCGAAAATCAAGAACAATTGGAATCGAAAATCAAGAACAATTGGAATCGAAAATCGAAAAAGAACAATATAACATGAAAAATATGAGGTCAATGTAGGCTCAACTTGAAAGAGAAATCCATCAACATATAACCTTGGCCATGAAAAGGTAAAAATTTCAAATAAAAATATGACTCCCCTTTTGATAATTTGGAAATTTTGTCGTTTACAAAAGGTTGAACCTATTTTTTCAGAATTCCTAGCCATGAAGAACATGTCCGTCCATACTACAGTAATCTGCCATGGCATTAGAAGCACCAATCATTTTCTCAAGTCTCTATCGGACAACACATGGCAGGCAGCCAAGCAAGTACCAGGGACTATCGTCGAGGGTCAAAATTTGAGAAATTGGAGCATACCTCCAGTTACTAAAGCCAACGCCTCACCAAAGTTATTCCGAATTCAGAAAAGGTCTCAGGTCTCTCAAATGAAAACCGAGTAAGTCGTAGGCCTTGGATATTTAAAGTGGGAAAAATTAAAATTGAATCGATATGGAAGTGGCTCGTTGGGCCTTTGAATCAGCTTTCGACATTAGTAGTGAGAAAACGATCCGCGCCGAATCAAAGTGCTGTCGTGGGCCTTTGATACCAAGATTGAAAAGTTATAAATCAGAACAGAATCAAAGTGTAAAGAGTCGTCGTGTGCCTTCGATATTAAAAAGAAATTTACCCTGAATTACTTTGAGATCCAAGTGCCGTCGTGGGCCTTGGATTTTTAAAGTGAAAAATCGGTGGAAAGAATTTAAGCGAAAAAAAAATAAGTGAAAAATGATACCTTGAACTGATGCGAGAAAATCTAAGCCTACGTCCCTACGTCGTAAAAAGTTTTTACAAATCGAATTGTTATAGAGCCTCGGTGGGCCTGAAGCTGACATTACACATCCTCTCACCGCAACTCCGCCGAAGTATCACCTTGCACAAACTTAACTACCACACCACATTCGAAAAGGTTCCAGTAGTGAAGCAGCCTTCGTATAACCAACACCTACAACGAGCACCGGAGCAGCAAATCAGCTAGCCAAGTGTCGGACGTCCGACACTTCTGCTCAATGTCTATTTACATTTGTCATTACATTGTGACAGTTTTTGCTGATATCTACACCATTCTTCTGCTTTCGGTCTCTAAACTGTTCAATCTCAAAACTATTGACAAATAATTCAGAAATGCGTACTGTTTTACTTCTAAGCTTGGTCCGAGGTCGGTCCGACAACTCTAAATTATCTTCCAAATTTCCCGGGTTTATCCTTGCGAATTCGATCCCACATTACTTCGAAAGTCGGCTGAAACTTCAGACATTCACCAACCCTTTGGTCCGACAACACGTTCCCATATACATTTCGATTGGTTTCATCCGAATTTCAGTTCGAAGTCGGTTATTGTTAATATGTACATCAGAACTTCATTAGACCATTCTTCCGAATTCGGTCCGAAAACTGTTCGAAAGGCGCAAATAATTCAGAAAGGCGCACTATTTTACTTCTGAGTTTTGTCCGAAAACTCTAACTTCTCCTCCGAATTTCCCATGGATATTCTTGCGAATTTGGTCCGACTTTGCTTCGAAAGTCGGCTAAAACTTCAGACTTTCATCCGACCCTTTGGTCCGACAACACATCAAACACTCCATATAACTTTCGATCAGTTTCATCCGACTTTCGGTTCGAAGTCGGTTGATGTTAATATGTACTTCAGAACTGGATTAGAGCATTCTTCCGAATTCGGTCCGAAAATTGTTTGAAAGAAGGCAAATAATTCAGAAATGCGCTCTGTTTTATTTCTGAGTTCAGCCCGAAAACTCGAACTTCTCCTCCGAATTTCCCATGGATATTCTTGCGAATTTGGTCCGACTTTGCTTCGAAAGTCGGCTAAAACTTCAGACTTTCATCCGACCCTTTGGTCCGACAACACATCAAACACTCCATATAACTTTCGATCAGTTTATCCGAATTTCTTTTCGAAGTCGGTTGTTGTTTATGTGTTCATCAGAACTTCATTAGACCATTCTTCCGAATTCGGTTCGAAAACTGTTTGAAAGTCGGCAAATAATTCAGATATGCGCACTATTTTACTTCTGAGTTCGCTCCGAGATCGGTCCGACAACTCTAATTTCGCTTCTAAATTTCCCATGGATATCCTTGCGAATTCGATCCGACTTCGGTTTGAATGTCGGCTAAACCTTCAGACTTTGATCCAACAACACGTCAACCCCTCCGAGATCGGTCCGACAACTCTAATTCCGCTTTCGGAAGTCGGCAAAAACTTTCATTCCACCCTTCGCTCCGACAACACGTAAACAACTCCATATATCTTTCGATCAAAAGTCACATTCGATATCGAAAGTTTTATCCGACTTTCTCTTCGAATTTGGACCGAACTCGGACAGTTTGGTTCGCTGGAAAGCCGTACCAGTCGACAGTCGCAATCAATATATGTACAAATCGGATAAAATAAAGCGTTACACACCGAATTTGTAAACGAACAAACTACCTGCTCGCTCTCAGTCACTTCAATAAAATTTTTCTGTGACAAATCCTACCCCCGCGAGCGTATCCCAGCAAACGGTGAAAACTTGTCGTTACACTTTTCAATTGCCCATAGACAAACTTTGAATCCGCTCTTTGCATTGGTAAATGGAGCAATTGAAGTGTGACGAACTCTATCCTCGCGAGCATATCCCAGCGAACGGTGGAAACTTGTCGTTACACTTTTCAATGGCCCATAGACAAAATTTGAAACTGCTCTTTGCATTGGTAAATCGAGCATTTGGAGTATATAAGAAAATAAGGAAGCCCACAAATAAACAAAAACTGGTTCAGGTCCTAGGAAAATGGAAGCCCATCTTAGTCACCTCACCAAGGGCTACTTAGTTAGTCGTTCTTTAAGCAATAACTCTTTAAAGGTAACATCTTAATATCAATTAAATTGCTTCTTTCTGGCCATAAATCGGAAGGGTAATACGAATGCCTGCCCAAATTTGCAATGATATATTTAAGTTTTTCAATAAGCGATCGGAGCAACATGCCCAATCCTATGAAGAATATTCTCTGAATAGAGAAATTTTAAAAATTTTCATCAAAATACTTGAATCGATTTAGGAATCTTGGCAAGCTAAATTGTATTCAAACCATTTACATATATTTTTTCTCAAATTTTATTCGAACTTATAATAAAATATCGAAATAACTTAAAACTCTTTGTTTTTTTAGTAGATATAAGACTTATGGATAATCTTATAGCATTTTGTGTCAATGTGTTTGTGTGTGTTTTTATCTTCATAAATATATAAGTATATATACTTTCTGTTGTCATAATATCATGATATATATTTGTTGTTGTTGCTGTTCTTGTTTATTTTCATACATATATATCCTTGTGGTTTTTCTCCTTAACTCTTCGCTTTGTTATTTATAACTTTTCAATATTTTTTTATTTATTTATTTTTACATACAATATTAATATTATACAGGATATAAGCATATGTCCTGTGCTGTATTTCGTATTTTCTTTTTTTGTTTTTGCTTCTTTTGTGTCTCTGTGGTGTTAATATTCCTGTTATAGCTATTGTTCCTTCTTTCTCTCTTCTTCCGTTTTGAGTGGTTTTTTCAAAATCCATAGATTTTGTTTTTTCTAGCAACCTCTTAAAATTTACTTCCTTTCAGATTCTGACTATGATCGTAATGTTTTGTTATGTTCGTTCGTTTGTTGTTGTTTTTACTGTTTTTTGTTTTGCTTAAATTTATGTATATAATATTTTACTTATATATAAGTATATATCTTTGTCTAGCATTTGTTTTGGTTTTGGTTTTTTGCCTATTAATTTGTGTGTGTATGTGTCTCAGTTTTGAAATTCTGCAAAGATTGTGGGCTTTCGAGAGAGCCTTTTTAACTGGCCATCCACTTGCATTTACTCATTTAATTTGTGCCATTCGGCAATTTGTCTTCGTGGTGAGTTGCACACTTCATTCCAGTGATTTAAGGCTGTACCATTCGAATTGGGTCCACCCAATTCAAGTCGTCCAATAACCTAGAAGGAGAAGGAAAAACGCATTAATTTGAAATACCTTAACACCGCTTTAGGTCGAATTTCGAAGACTTCCACCGTTTGTCGGACGGGTTTTCAAAATTTATAATTTTTATGGCCATAATCACCTTTTCCAACTTATTTTTAAATTTTTGAATTTCGAAAAACACCCGGATAAATTATAGTATGGAGGGTATATTAAGTTCGTCATTCCGTTTGTAACTCATCGAAAAAATAATTTTTGACCCAATTCTTAATCAGCGTAAAATTCTAAGACGATTCAGCCCTGTCCGTCTGTCTGTCCATCTGTTGTAATTACGCTGGAGTCAAAACGATGGGTTATATCGGTCCACGATATCATATAGGCCTCATATAACGGCACCCACGGTATTCAAATAAATTTTCTGAAAATCCATAAAAGGAATTCCTTTTTAGTACTTTTAGTAGGTCCACGATATAAAATATCCCCCATATAACGGTACCCCCGATATGCGGTATTTTGATGATTTCAGCAACATTTTCTAATGGAATTGTCTACTAGAAGTTCTTACTAAGCACTTTACCCCCTGGAAAATTATTGTCTACATAGGTCCACGATATCGTATATTCCCCATATGACAGAACCTCCCTATATTCGTTATTTTGATGATTTTAGGGCATTATTTTCCTGAATTGTTTCAAATTTCGTATTTAGAGTTCGTAATGGGGACTACAGCCTGTGACAGAAAATTGTCCATGCAGGTCCAGGTCTTTTTATGGCCCCGATATAACGGTACCTCCCTATATTCGGTATTTTGATGATTTTAGCGGCGTTATTCACCGGAATCGCTTAAAATTTCTTATTTAGAGTTCGTAATGGGAACTACAGCCTGAGACAAAATATTTTCTATGCCGATCCAGGTCTTTGTATGGCCCCGATGTAACGGTAACTCCCTATATTCGGTATTTTGATGATTTTATGGACATTATTCTCCTGAATTTTTTCAACTTTCGTATTTTGGAGTTCGTAATGGGAACTACAGCCTATGACAGAAAATTGTCTATGCAGGTCCAGGTCCTTGTATAGCCCAGATATAACGGTACCTCCCTATATTCGGTATTTTGATGATTTTAGCGATATTAACAGAACAATTTGTATTATGTCTAGGATGGTTGGTATTGAAAATAAGATATATCGGTCCACGTTTTTTGGTATAGTCCTCATATTACGGTATCGGGAGGATATTCGGTATTTTGATGATTTTTGCCACGAATATGTCTAAAAATTGGTATTTGTGGTTCATTATGGGTTCTAATGTTTCCTTTACCCTAAGGTGGAGGTTATTGAAAATTCGTCCAGGCCGAACTTATTGTTTAATGCTTTTTTTTTTTTGAAAATTTCCAAATACGTTCCTATTGATAGAGGCTATTCAAAGTTCTGTCCGGTCGAACTTACTACTTTTTACTTTTTTCTTCAAATTTCTGAGTTTTGAAAAATCATGGAGAATTGGGGGTTTTCTTTCTCATTTCCCTTTTTTAGACATACATAAATAGGTCCCTATTGAACTCTCAATCTTAGCAACTTTAAAGGATGAATTTCCGAAAGTAGCTCCTTATCTCATCCAAGATTGAGCCTCATGCAAAATTTCAAGCTCCTCGCATTAAATGATCGTTGGATGGAAAAGTTGGAACGTTTCGTACCTTTTGGTACATATTGTAGTCTTAAATTCTACAATATCCCTTTACCTCTTTTCAACAAGAGTGATCTTCAAAGATAATATATGACATTCTTATTACTCAACAACTAACTACGTTGCACCTTTTAATAACTTTGTACCTTTTAGTAACTTTGAGGTAAAAGTTTTTATAGGAGAATTAAATCATAGACGCTATGATTATAATTATAATTTAAAGTTCAAAGGACTAAATATGCCGAAGCATTTGTATCTTTTAAATTCGGACTTGTATTGCCCATTTGGTGCACAATTAATATGAAATCGGATAAAAATATATATATGGGAGCTATATCCAAATCGGAACCGATCTCGATAAAATTTGGCAAAGATATTTCTGAGCTGTATCTGATATATTTCCCTGAATATCGTTGTTACGGAGTGTATATTACGGCTGTGGGTACCAATTATAACAAATCGGATGAACAGTATATAGCTATATCTGAACCGGTCTTCAGCAAATTTGACATACTAGCTTCTAGACTCATTTCGGTCGTAAGTGTCAAATATTAGACGTTTGGTGCACAATCAAAGGTAAATTGGACGAAGTTATAAATGGGAGCTATATCTAAATCTGAACCGATCTCGATAAAATTTAACAAATGTATTTCTGAGCTGCATTTGATATATTTCCCCAAATATTGTTGTTACAGAGCGCATATTACGGCTGCGGAGGACAAAAATAACAAATCGGATGAACAATATATATGGGAGCTATAGCTATATCTGAACCGATTTCGATCAAATTTGACATACTTATTTTCAGGCCCAACCTTCTCGTTCGTGCAAAATTCCATACTATTCGGACTGTTATTACAAGTTTGGTGCACAGGGTAATAAATGCGAACTGTACTTTGTTTACAAACATACTGGTGGTTCGGTAACGATGTGGTGCCATTTTTGTATTTATCATAACCTTTTCGCCAATACCCTTTTCCAATCACTCTATGTCGATGATGTAAATTTTAGTACCTTTCATACCCTTGAATTAATGTAGCACTATTTCGAACTTTTAAGTACATTTTCTTCCCTTCTCCAAAAACTCAGGCGTTTTATTCCCACATATAGCAAGAGTTTCCCGCGTCCAAATTTCAAACATCTCACAACAACAATATTTTACCTTTCTGTACTTTTTGAATCTTCAAAGTAAGAATTTTCAAAAGTCACGCCTTACATGACAATTTCTCATCAATACTGGCTCTCATAAAAAATACAAAGTTCTAACTCTTTCAAAATGCTCAATCACAATTCTGTAACTTTCAGTACTTTTCTCAGTACACCTGAAGTACGAATTTATAAAAACACCGCTTTTATCAACCCCGGCGCATGGGGTAACCTTCATAGGAAATGTCAGAATTCCAGCTCTTAATGGTTGCATTAGAATAGTACTGTACCATTATAGCTCATTGGTACTTTTCGTACCCTTTAAGTACAAATTTCAAGATTTTAATGGTTTATAATTTCGGCTTTATGAGTAAATTATTGGTACATTTTAATATTTTATAAGGTACTATTTAGTATTAGGTACATTTAAGTATAAAGGATTTTTAGTAGAAATTTTCACACACTGAAGTGTATCACACCAAACCTGATCCCATACTAAATTTTACAAAACAATTTGTGATTTTCCAGATAAAGCTAAATATCAAATTCTAGCTGTAGTGGTACAATATTTAATTTTTTGGTACATTTTTTAGTAAAATTTTCAAAAAAAAAACATCTCAATAGACATTAATGTTAAATTCTAAGACTCTGGCTCTAAATGTTTAGAATTTAGCTCCGAAAATACTTTGTAGTCGTTTTAAGTATTTTTAGTATTTTTAAGTATTTTCTGCTGTCTCATGTTCATATGTTCCTACACTATATACGAAATTTAGTACCATTTAGTACAATTTAGTACACTACATATAATTTCCGCTTCACGCTCATATTCACAATTTCATCTATTTTCATACACTATATAACAAATTAAGTACCATTTAGTACTATTCGTACACTTATTGTACTCATTTTCAGATGAGGTTATCTCAACTTTATACATTTTCTCATGTGTAAGATTTCATCATTCCACCTTTATCCATTCACACATTGTACCAAATTCAGTAAAATTTGGTACGATTGATATCTTTAAGTACGGATTTCCAAAACCACCTCATTGTAAAAAGCATACTTCCCAATTTTGGTTGCCCTATAAAAAATTAAGATTTAGCTCTACCGAAAGAAATCGAAACTGTACAAAATTGATACCTTTTAGTACATTTCGTACATTTAAAGTTCGAAATTCCTAACACTTTGGTACATCTATACACCACTACCAGTACCCAATGCCAATACTTCAAAATGTCAATTCACTCCGATCAACCGAAACTGATTTGTACCAAATTTAGTACCTTTTAGTACATTTCTTTCTTTTTAGATCACTTATAGTTCCAATTTTTAGAAACTCTTCAGTTATCTTTTCTACACAACATCAAAAGACCTCATTCCAAATTTCAGATTTCAGAATATGATTTAGTACTTTTCGTCCTTTTTAGTATGTATTTCCAAATTCATAGACATATATCAAACTACCGCTCAAAAACTTATCATTATAACAATTTTTTGATTTCCAATTCAATTCCGTCCGCAAATACCAAATTCAGTACGATTTGGAACTTTTTGTGCGCTTATTGTACACATTTCCCGAACGACCTCTGTATCTCAACAATGTACAAATACGCTTTGATGAGTTTTATTCTAAATGTCAACATTCCAAATTTGCCCCTTTACCTAATACCATAATGTACCAATTTAGTAACATTTGGTACTATTGGCACACCTAGTTATGCATTCCAAAACCCCCTCTTTATAATAAGCATACTTCCCAATTTTGATTCCCATACACAATTTTAAAATTTTCGATCTGGATCAGCCAAAACCAAATTGTACCATATTTAGTACATTTTGGTACAGTTCTAACACTTAGTACTCAATTCAAAAATAGCCTCCTTTTATCAACCCTACTTCCCAAAACTTGATTCCCGTAACAAATTTAATGATTTTACCTCCATCTGTTCACATACTTCCAATTCGTACAAAATGTAGTGCATTTTAGTACTTTTGGTACAATTATTGTTCCAAAGAACCTTTGGTTTGTCTATCTTATATACCCTCATTCTGAGTTTCAGATTTCCAACTTTATACCTTTCATAAATTCTAAATTTTATACAATTTAGTACTTTTCGTACTTTTTAGTACGTATTTCCAAATTCACCTCCATATATCAACCCACCGTACAAAACTGACCATTATACCAAATTTTTAATTTCCAACTCTATTCCTTCCCCAAATATCAAAATTTAGTACCATTTAGTACTTTTCGTACCTTTTTTAAAGCGTATTTACAAAACCACTCCACATCTCAAACCTAGAAACAGACAGTGGACCAAATTCCAAATTGCGGAGTTCAAGCTAAATCCGTTGACCCAACCTCAAATTTAGAACCATTTATACCATAACTCTTACAAAAACAAGATCGGACGAGATATCATTAGGGAGGATATTGAAAATCCTCGCTGAATGAAAATCTCTTTCCATTTCCATTCAACCATTGAAACCCCCATATTTACCTCATTTTTGGTAACACGATCCCAGTCTAACAGCATCAACTCAAGTGACACTCCTTCCAAAGTCGCTCCAGTTCCCTGAAATAGAAAAATACACCATATAATTCTCCTCCTCTCCCCACATCATATCTGCAATCACCCACCTCAGCTGCGGGAATATCGAAAGCAAAACTCTCATTGAAAACAGGACTCAGTGTGCGTTTCTTGACATGTGTCTTCTTCTTGGCGATGCGCTGGCCATTGTACAACAAATAGATTTTGACATAGGGATCAGCCAAACCGGTCACATCCATGCGTGGTAGATTGCGGGCCTTCAACAGCACCACTGTCAAACGTCCGGCGGCTGGTTGCCAACACAACGATATCAAAAGTTCGCCACGTCCCTGGGCCCGTATCTTCAAACTACGTGGTTGAATTTCCTTGCTAATGGACAAAGCCTCCTTGGAAATGTCACCGATTTCAATGCTCGACAATGGACAGACAACCTCGCCAATGACATCATCACGCGAATAACGATCAAAGCTCAGGATGACAAAATGCAATGACATATTCTGCAAATCATTGATGTTCAAGCCATAGAAAGTGAAATCCTCATCGTAGACCGGGTTACGAGTGTTGCGCACAACGCGGGTCTTGACCTTGTGCTGTTTGTCGGGCAGCAGCTGCAACTTGACATAGGGATCAGTGGCGGCCTGGGTACGGCCATTCATGCCGGCTGGAATATCGCTGCCATTGTTGCTAGTCGAGGGATTGTTCGAATTGCCGCCACTACTCTTCGAGGGTAAACCACGGCAACGGATGATCGACACCATCAGGGCATTTCGTTCGGCCAAATAACGTAGCTTGAAAAATATGGAACCCAGTTTGCCGTACTGTTCCAAATGCAGATCGGTGCTGGCATTGCTAATCATCGACTCTTGCATGGCATTGCCCATCTGACTGGATCTACCGGCAACGACACCATTGTTCGCACCACCACTACCACTGGGACTCTTAGCCTCCACAGGGGAATGTTTCTCACTGCCTCCGTTATATTTCACCTGTTTGGGTTTTATCTCATCCTCTTCCATATACTTGACAGTCTGTGGCGAGATTGGCGATGAGGCATTCTGATCGGGCATTGGTTGTAGGATACCCAATTGCTTGGTACCCGTTGGCGATGGTGACTTCTTCAGATAGTGTGGTGGCTGGCCACTAGGCGAACGAACAGCTGTCGGACGTCGTGTCGGTTGAAAGGGAAATGTGGCATCGTGTTGATTCTGTTTGCGATTACGAGCTCTCATTTGGCGGGCACATATGCAGGCCACCGCCCAAAGGGCACCGGCCGACACGAGGCCCAATATAGCGGGAAGTACTGAAAATGAAAAGAAAAAAAATTATTAATTGGTATAAAAATTTAAAAATGAAAAACCAGTGAAAGAAAACTGGAAAACATAACAAAAATCGAAATGACCAACATAAATTAAACTTTGGGTATCCCCAGCGGAAGATATTTAACCCAAAGGGGTTATTTTTAAATGTGGTAAAAACATTCTGCTACAGGAAAATTCTGCAACACGAATACATCAAAAGAGTAAATTCTACCAAAACACCGGGAATTCAAAAATTAAAAAAAAAAACATATTTTAGAATTTATCCTAAATTTTCCTACAAAGCATCATTTTAGAAGGATGACGTTAAAGACGAACTTATTCTCCATCGTATTTCACTTTAAGTTGCAAACAGAGAAAATCTTTGCTTCCATTATATATCAGGAAAAAAATTTGGATAATTTTGGACAAAATTACCCAATTTATATACCCTTCACCATAGTATGGATGGTATATTAAGTTTGTCATTCTGTTTGTAACACCTCGAAATATACAAGGTGGCGCAAAAGTAAACTTCCGATGTTTTTTTGCTGTACTTAAAAAATTGTATTCTTCTTGTGGATTATTTTTAGTTGGTCTTTTAGTTTTTTTTATATTATGTCGAAAATACGATGTAATCTAAATGGTCGCCGCCATTGTCATCTGAGCCCATTTTATGGCATTTTCCATCACTTTGGCCAAAAGTTCCGGCGATAGTTCCTCACATTTATGACGGATTTTGTCGTTAAGAGCTAAAAGATTCTGAGGCTTTTTGACAAAAACCCGCGAATTCAAAAAGGCCCCACCAAAAGAAGTCTGGAGCGGTCAAATCAGGCGATCTTGCTGGCCAGTGCAAATCTCAAAAACGGGAGGTTGGGCGCCGGGGAAATACATCCTTCAGCATATCGATTGTGGCACGTGCAGTGTGGCCGTTGCACCGTCCTATTGGAACCACATGTTTTCCATTCCCACGTTACGGCAAAAATAAGTCGTTGATCATTGCTTTGTAGCGCTCACCATTCACAGTAACCGTTTGGCCCGCGACGTCTTCAAAGAAAAAAGGTCCGATGACTCCTCTAGTGAAAACACCATACAGTGACTTTGAGCGGGAGAAATGGCTCTTCGTGGGTCACACGCGGATTTTCAGTGTTCCAAAAGCGTAAATTTTGCTTATTTACGTACCCGCTAAAATAGAAATGGGCCTCATAACTCATGATTATTTTTGATGAAAAATCATCTTCTACTTGGTGGTGATTAAGAATGGCTTGAGCGTATGTTTGGAGGCGACTGGCGGTCAGCAGCTAACATCTGATGCACCATCTGGACTTTGTACGGAAACATCTACAAATCTTGTTCCAAAATTCGCTGAAAAACCCGTCGATTGTTTCCCATTTGAGTGGCAAGTCGTCTGGTCGATGTCGACGGCGCTTCCATGACATCCTCGGCTACAGCAGCAATATTCTTTGATGAACGGATACTTTGCAGAAAATCTTACTGAAATGCATATTATGTCTGAGGACTTTTGGTGTTGAAAAAGGGCCATGTAGGTCCCCGTTTTGGTATGGCCCCCATGTAACATCCCGATATTCGGTACTTTGATGATTTTAGCGACATTATTCACCGGAATTGTTTCAAATTTGGTATTTAAAGTTCGTAATGGATACTACAGCCTATGACAGAAAATTGTCTGTGCAGGTCCTCGTCTTCGTATACATCGTATATAATGTTAGCGACATTATTCACCGGAATTGTTTAAATTTCGATGTTCCCGATGTTCGATAATTTGATGATTTTTGCCACATTTTTTCACGGATTTGTCTGAAAATTGGTATTTGTAGGTCATAATTGGTTCTAGCTCCTTTGGCGAAACATTGCATGTGTAGGTCCACGATTTGGTATAGCCTCCATATAACGCTACCTCCCGATATTCGGCATATTAATGGTTTTTGCCACATTTCTTCTAATGTTTCCTTTACCCTAAGGTGGAGGGTATTAAAAGTTTGGCCCGGACGAACTTAATGTTTTTTTTTACTTGTTTTTAATATAATCTTTCCCGAAGTCATATTACGCACTCTATGGTAAGGGAGGTATTGGGTGTACATCAAATTGTTTGGACATCGATTCAGAGTTGGATATACATCTATTGTATTACATCCCTCTGATTCCAAATTATAACAGCTTTAAAGCTATAATAAGTTTTCAAGAAAGCTTAACAGCTGCTACGATCCACTTCACATAAAGACCCAATATAAAAGTTCATTTGTAACGGGTTACGACACTAAATATTCATAGTTGTGTGAGGTATTATAAAATCGGCCCGACCGACTTTTTACCTTTCTTTACTGGCGATTTCGACGTGTAGTAACTTTAAAAATGCTCCATTTCATCCCCTAAATGTTATGCGACTAACATTCTAAATAGTATACTTCGGTATTATCCGATTTGGTACAAACTTGGTACATAGTAATATTATTATCAAACTTAGATAGAGTTCGGCAATGGGCAATATCAGTCCACACCATCTGGTATATCCCCCACAAAAGGTTAAAATTTAAAAAATATATATATTTTACTTCACTGAAAGAGAAAGGATAATCCGATTTTGCTCCAACTTTAGAAATCCTAATATGACTGAGGGTATACATCTGTCGGCAAAACCGACTGATACTGTTTAACTTGTTATGTTTTATTTCTAGCCTCAAGCTAGAAATGATACATTTTCTTGACATCAAACTTAAGAACACTACTCGTGCCAGTTATATAAAAATAATTAACTGCATCTGAAATATCCATGTCAACTCTCGTAACATCAAACTTCAGTCATAAGACCACCTGAACCCCCGGTTTGTTGTAAGAAACAAAGTAATTCGTCAAAGAATGAAATGGGGTATTATGTTGTTGGCTTAAAATATTTCTAAAAATAGCTATAGGTATGCATAAAAATAAAATTAGCAGTATACACATATATTTTGTTGTTGTTGTCGATGATTCATTATATTCCCACATATATATTTTTTGATTTGACACGAAAAATATTATTATTGCATTATTTAAAGAAACATAAATTATGAACATACATTTATGTGAACAGCAAAAAAAATTGTGTTAATATGTTCGGAATTGGTGTCAAAAGGTACGGCGACAGAGAACAAGAAGCACACAACATCAAAATGAAAAAAAAAACCAAAACAACCACCCCCAGCAGCCATGGAAAACAGAGCTGGCAAGAATCGCATCCCCCACCACCACCTATCGAAACGAAAACAGCTAAAATAAAACCTCATCCCCCTTCATTATCTGAATACGGCTAAAAAGGAAAATTTTGCAAACAACAACAGCAACCATATGATGAAAGAAAAAATACATGTATACATTGCAAGATTTTCCTTTTTCGTTTAATTAACTTTTGAGTTAGAAAAACATTAAACAATAAAAATTATTTTAAAAAATTATAAAAAAAAATAAAAACCATTTTTAAAAATTTGTTATTTTACCAAATTCTTCAGAGAGTACTTACTTGTTGTCATAGCGCTTATATCGGGATTATTTGAGTATTCGTCACCCATTTTTTTAGATTGTATTCCTTATGTTGCTGTTTTTTTTTATTAAACCGTTTGTTATCTTTTTGTAGCGTTTATTTAGTTTATTTTTAAAACTGTAATAAATATTGTTTATTATATGTTTTTTTCGTTAGCAAAAAAATCGAATTTTCTCCTTCTATTCGCCAAACAAACTTATCGTCGTCGTCGTAGCCGTAACCGTTGCGTGAAAAGCTTTTATCTAATGGAAACAGAAGAAGAAGAAGAAGACAATGAAAATAACAGCATCAAAATTGGCCACAAAAGCACCAACTTCGCCGCACTTTATCATCATTCTTTACTTCACTTCATTTCCACAGACATTGTATTTACAAATGCCTAAAAGTATGCTAAGGTTTATCTCCTTTCCACTTGTGGCAGTGAGAGAGCTTTCAAACAATGTATGCTCTTGTTGTCTCTTTCACATTTTCACTCTTAACACACATATACACTTGACTCACTTCCCCTGGCAAAATACCGTTATTGGGAATTTATAGTTGTTCTTGTGTTTGTTGGCGGCGCGGGAGGGTTTTGAAACGACACAAAAACACTTTTACACCACACCACACGACCGACACACATTCACAAATGACTTTGAAAGGATTTCAACATTTCGTTGTATGTTTCGTTTAATCACGTTTCGTTTCGTGTATTGTCTTGCATTGTTTCGTTGTTTGTTTTTGTTTTTTTTCCTCCCCTCCCCCATTTGAAATTTATCATTTGTTTTTGTTTGTTTGTTACAAGGTAGAGCTCGTAGCTAGCTGGGCATAACTTTGATTACCCAGTTGTGTGTTACAGTGTAATGGACAATGAGTGTGACAATGTGAAAACTTTTTGGCAAACTACGTCATTGGCGGGGTTATGTTGGTTTCCTGCTGGGGTTATTTTCCATGGTACGTACACAACGTAAGTGTTACGTAGTGGAATACCTATTGGTTGAATTTCGAACTTAATATAGTGCAGAGTATAAAAAAATTACAAACCGTATTTCAAAGCCAGTTCTCTGGACTATGTTGTATAGTATTGGCTTTAAAATTCGGTTTGTAAATTTTTATACCCTCAACCATGCATAGTATGGAGGGTATATTAAGTTCGTCATTCCGTTTGTAACTCATCGAAATAATAATTTTGGACCTAGCAAGGTATATATATTCTAGATCAGCGTAAAATTTTAAGACGATTTAGCCCTATGTATGTTTGGCTGTCTGTTGTAATCACGCTAGTGTCAAAACGAATAAAGATAGGTAGCTAAAATCTTGCACCGATCAATCTTTTGTCTGCAGACATGTCTAGTTCGAAGATGGGCTATATCGGTCCACGGTATCATATATTCCCCATATAACGATGCCTCCCGATATTCGGTATTTTGATGATTTTAATGACATTTTTAATGGAATTGTCTTAACATCCACAAAAGCAAATCCTTGAGAGTACCTTACCCTGGAAGACAATTGTCTATATAGGTCCACGACATCGTATATCCCTTATCTAATTGTTCGTCCCGATATTTGGTATTTTAAAAATAGTAGCCAAATTTGTCAATGGAATTGTCTGAAAAACACACACAAAGATTTCCCTTTGAGTACTTTACCCCCTAGAAAAGTATCGTCTATAGGTCCACGATATCGTATATCCCCCATATAACAGTACCTTCCGATATTTGGTTTTTTTATGATTTTAGTGATTTTTTTAAAAGAATTGTCTTAAAATTCACAAAAGGAATTCCTTGAGAGTACATTACCCTGGAAGAGAATTGCCTATATAGGTCCACGATATCGTATATCCCTTATTTAATGGTTCCTCCCGATAATAGGTATTTTGATAATTTTAGCCAAATTTGTCAATGGAATTGTCTGAAAAACACACACAAGGAGTTCCTTCTGAGTACTTTACCACCTGGAAGAGTATTGTCTATATAGGTCCACATTTTAGTATAGCACCCATATAACTGAACCCCCTGATATTTGGTATTTCCGTGATTTTAGCGACATTATTCACCGGAATTGTTTCAAATTTGGTATTTGAAGTTCGTAATGGATACTACAGCCTATGATAGAAAATTGTCTGTGCAGGTCCACATCTTCGTATAGCCGCCATGTAACGATACCTGCCTATATTCGGCGTTTTGATGATTTAAGCGGTATTATTCAACGAAATTGTTTCAAACTACGTATTTGAAGTCCGGAATCGGTACTACAGCCTATGACAAAAACTTAGCTATAAAGAAGACCACGTCTTTGTATAGCCCCCATATAAAAGGTTTCATCTTAGATGTATTTTTCTACGGATTTTTTTTTTTGAAATTTTTCAAGTTCCTTCAAAATAGTGGAGAGCATTAAAAGTCCCTCTCGGTCGAACTTAGCTGCTTTTTATACCCCCAGCCATATGGCTGATACGACCAAAACGTACCTCATCGAAATAACGGTTTCAGACCCTAGATCTCTTTGTACCAAATCCGTTTCAGGACATTTGGAGTCGATTTAGCGGTGTACTTGCATTCGTCCGTCTGGCTGGTACACACGATAACTCTCGAAGGGATTTTAATATTTGTTCCAAATGCGGCACATTATAATATTATTATCAAATTAGAGTTCAGAGATGGGCAATATCGGTTCACCTCATCAAGAACCACCCACCCCCCCTCCACAAAAGGTCAACATTTTCAAAAAATATTTTTCTGCGCAGAAAGAAAAAGGTTGATCCGATTTTGCTTCAACTTTGCAAATCCTAATATTTGCATCAGTGCTAGGTCAGGTGCGAAAATGAACATCGGTTCACTCCATCAAGTACCTCCTACGCAACGGCTCAAAATTTTCAATAATTATAACTTTTATAAAATGTGATGTAAGAGTCCGATTGTCTTCAAATTACACATCACATCAAAATATATTTTAATAAGCCAAAAATTGTTGTGAAGATGAAATATATCGGTCGACTCCTTCCGGTCCACTCCTTCCTTCCCCACAAAACGGTCGAAAGTTTCAAAAAAAATTTTCTGCACAGAAAGAGAAGTAATAATCTTACTTATCTCCAACTTTGCAAATTCTTGTATTTTTGGCAGTGTTAATTCAGGTACGAAAATGGGCATTATCGGTCCACTCCATCAAGTACCTCCCCCACAAAGGGTCAAAATTTTGAATAATTACAACTGTCATTGAATGTGATGTAAGAGTCCGATTGTCTTCAGATTTCACACATTCCAATATTTTTATTAACCCAAGTTCTGGTGTTAAGATGAAATATATCGGTCCACTCCTTCTGGTACCTCCCCCACAAAAGCTCGAAAGTTTAAATATCCATTAAGTTCAATTAGACTTGGCACATCTGAATATTTCCCCCACCAAGGCTCAAAGTTTTGAATAACCGAAACGATTACAAAATCCCAAATAAGCATCAGGTTCTCTTTACATTTACACATACCATTATTTCTACTAACACAAGCATTGTTGTGAAGATGGGATATATCGGTCCACTCCTTCTGGTACCTCCCCCACAAAGGCTTAAATATCCATGAAGCTCATAAAACGAGAAATTAATATCCGATTTCATTCGGACTTGGCACATCTCAATATTTCCATCAACACAAGATCTGTTATAAAGATGATAGAGACCGCACCATTTCTTCTGGTACCTACCCCACAATGGATCAACATTTTGAATAACCAAAACGATCATAAAATCCGAAATAAGCATCCGATTCTTTTCATATGTCACACATCCCATTACTTCCACTAACACAAGATCTGCTGTGAAGATGGGATATATCGGTCAACTCCTTCTGGTATCTCCCCCAAAAAGGGTCAACGTTTTAATTATCCATGAGGCTCATAAAACTCGAAATAAACACTGATTCCTTTAAGACTTGGTTTATCTCAATATTTCCATCATAACAAGATCTGACCATTTCTTCTGGTATCTCCCCCACATAGGATTTGAAAAACAAAATGCTTAAAGATAGCGAAATAAGCATCCAACTCTCTTCAAATTTCACACACAAACATTTTTGTTAACACAAAATCTGTTGTGAAGATGATATATACCTGCAAACCCCATCGCACCCACAATGGGTCACAATTTTCAATACTTTTATTTGTTATAACTTGCGAAACATATCAGCGATTTCTTCCAACTTGCTATATCCAAATATATCTCTCAACCAGAAATCTGATATTAATGTGGAATTTTTCGAAATTTTTAATTTCGCATAATATTGGGTATGAGTGTTTGATTTTCTTTTATTTTTGCCCATTTTAATATTTTATCTGTATTAGATGAAGTGCGGTAATGGAATACTCCGGTCGACTATATCTGGTATCCCATGCACATTTTACAATTATTTAAAATTATCCATATCTCATATAAGAGGAAGGAAGTGGTCGATATAGTCCAAATCTGGCACGTCGCAATATTTGTATCATATTTATTTAGGTCCGATACGAAATGTATAATATGGTTCCATTTCTTTGGAACCTGCTCCATAGAGGGTCAAAAATTTGAATAATGATAGCTGAAATATATTTAAATAATCGAACATCGGCTGAGGGTAACATCTGCCGGCAAAACCGACTTATACTTGTTAACTTGTTTTATTTTTCGGACGATCCTACCATGAAAAAAATATATATTTTTGTGCGCCATACTTTGATGCTATTTACTAGGTTCCCAAAATGTAATTAGACTAACATTCCCAATAACATATTGAAAATGTTAAGTTTGGCCGGTATCCTTCGGCATTTATGACATTCATGATTTATTCAAATGAACTCATTTATTAACTCAATATGGTTAACGATGAGAATGCAACATTAATATATATAATTAAATTCATTTTTATAAATTGGAGGAAATAAATTTAAACGCCGTAAGCAGCCATTTGAGGCTGCACCAATAAACTAGTGAGTTTAGTTAACGATTTCCAATATCCGACTTAATTAATTCTTTTGATAAAAAAAAAATTAGCTCAAACAATAAACAATTGATTGTTCTTTTAATCGATGGAGATACGATTGGAATGTGCGATAAAGCCAATGAAATATCGATTAATTAGCTCTTCTTTCGGATTGTCAATTGCCTGTGAACTATCAGGAGAATATTTCAATGAAATAGTTTAGAAATTGCTGAATGATATTATTAACCCATTTGTGCATATGTCTTATTGGTATTTGTCTATTGGTATTAAGAATATCAATTTTTACGGGGAAATATTAACACATTGCAATGTGTGTGTGTCGTAATATACATGCATGTATATGTCTGATACAAATAATTTATATTTAGAACTGATTATTGGTCTACTGTTATTGTAACCTCCACTACTTTAAAGTATATATGTAATTTTTTTTCTTTTGATCAGCATAAAATTCTATGTCGATTTAGCGATGTCCATCCGTCTACCCGTCTGTCAGTCTGTGGAAATCACTCTAGCTTCCGAACGAAATGAGGTAGATTGATAAAGTTTTAATCAATGTATATTATGTCTGCAGGACTTATTGTATGTAGGTCTGTAGGTCCACGTTTTGTTGTAGCCCCATAAAACGGTACCTCCCGATATTCGGTTCTTTGTTGATTTTAGCGACATTTTTCACCGGAATTGTTTCAAATTTGGTATTTGATGTACGTAATGGATGCTACAGCCTATGACGGGAGATTGTCTGTTCAAGTCCACGTCTTCGTATAGCGCCCATATAACGGTACCTCCCGATATTCTGTATTTTGTTGATTTTAGTGACATTATTCACCGATTTTTTTAAGCATTTGAATATTGTGATGGCTTATGACAAAAATTACCCATGCAGGCCCATGTCGTTGTAAAGACCCTAAAATAACATCTACATTCGATATTTCTAAGATTTTAACATTTTTTATTAATTTTGGCAATTGCCAAATTTGTTCCAAATGCCATTCAAAGTTCGACCCGCCGAACTTACAGCTTTTTATACCCTACACCACAAGGTGGTCAGGGTATCATGTATTTGTGCATTTGTTTGTAACAGGCAAAGGAAACGAGATAAACCCGTAGTTCCTTTTGATGATCTGCATAGAATCACATTATGAGTCGATTTATGCATGTCCGTCCGTCCGTCTGTCCATGTATTTTTGTAAACAAAGTATAGTTCGAATTTATTGCCCCAAATTTTGCACATATCATTTGTTTGGCCCAAGGACGAACCCTATTGAAATTGGAGATAATCGGTAAAAATTTAGATATAGCTCCCATATATATCTTCGTCCGATTTGCCTTTTATTGTGCACCAAACGTGTAATATCAGTCCGAATAGTATGGAATTTTGCACGTACGATCAAATTGGACCTGAAAATAAGTATGCCAAATTTGATCGAATTCGGTTCAGATATAGCTATAGCTCCCATATATGTTGTTCATCCGATTTGTTATTTTTTTCCTCCGCAGCCGTAATATCCACTCTGTAATAACAATATTTGGGGAAATATATCAAATATAGCACATTCGAGATCGGTTCAGATATGGATATAGCTCCCATATATAACTTCGTCCGATTTACCTTTGATTGTGCACCAAACGTCTAATATTTGCCCAAATTGGATGAAATTTGGCACTTACGACGAATTGAGTCTAGAAGCTAGTATGTCAAATTTGGTGAAGATCGGTTCAGATATTGCTATAGCTTCCATATATACTGTTCATCCGATTTGTCATATTTGTTACCCACAGCCGTAATATGCACTCCGTAACAACGATATTCAGGGAAATATATCAAATACAGCTCAGAAATATCTTTGCCAAATTTTGTCGAGACCGGTTCCGATTTAAATATAGCTCTCATATATATTTTTATTCGATTTCAAATTAATTGTGCACCAAATGGGCAATACAAGTCCGAATTTAAGAGATACAAATGCTTCGGTATATTTAGTCCTTTGAACTTTAAATTATAATTATAATCATAGCGTGTATGATTGAATTCACCCATAAAATATTTTAATTGTTATGCGGAGCTCTACTAAATTAGCAAAGTGGTGTAGGGTATCATAAAGTCAGCCCCGTCGGACTTTAAGACTTTCCTTACTGGTTTACTTGTTAATTTTTGGAAATAAAAAACACTTAATTGCAAAGAGTGTAGGGACGGAACTGGAATCAAGAAAATTGGTATGAGCATCACTGTGAATGATGAGGCGAGTTTAATACGAATACCTTTTAGAAACTTAAAATATGAAATTTCAAACATTGAGTATTTTACCTAAAATCGTCAAAATGCCGTTATATGGGGGCTATACGATATCGGGGGTATCGTTATATATGGGCTTTACGATATCGTGGACCTATATAGTTTCTGCTATATACTTTGTTATGTCTAATATATAGATGAGTTACAAGCGGAATGACGAACCCTCCATACTATGTATGGTGCAGGGTATAAGAATGATTAGACCAACATTGTCCAGTTTTATACCCTCAACCATTCTATGGATGGTATATAAACTTTGTCATTCTGTCTGTAACTCCTCGAAATATTCATAATAGACCCTACACAGTATATTTATACTAGATCAGCGTAAAATTCTAGGACGAACTAGCGATTTCCGTCTGTTCACCTGTCTGTCTGTTATAATCACGCTATCTTTCGAACGAATTGAGATAGAAGGTTAAAATTTTGCACACACGTGTATTTTGCCAGTAGGCAGGTTAAGTTCGTAAATGTCGGCCACGTTTTCGTGAAGCCCTCAAATAACGGTACAACCCGATATTCGGTATTTTGATGATTTTAACGACATTATTCACCCGAATTGTTTCAAATTTCGTAGTCGAAGTTTGTAATGGGTACTGCAGCCTATGCCCAAAAATAATTTCGTATGCAGGTTTCAAGTTCCTTCCAAATGGTAGAGGGTATTAAAAGTTCAGCCCGGCTGAACTTATCAGCTTTTTTACTTGTTACATCTAACCTCGTATTATCTTAACATTTCGATACGCCAATTTTGATTGTTAGAAGATTGAAATTGTATGGGGGAGGTACCAGAAAAAGTGCAATGGTATATTCGTTTTTCACATTTAATGAAGAAAATCGCAAAGATGTTTCAAAAGTAGTAGACCAATATTGTACCTTTTCGAAATTTATTCATGTGGCAAGTTTGAATTATGTCGGGTATAGCCTTCGCCGAATATGAGATTTGTATTGCAAAATTTTGAAGTTACTTTGGTGGAACTTGAAATCCGGATTACTTCAGCATTTTCAAAGGATCTCAAAATCCTGAATGAAAAATCATAGGTCTGTTTTAAAAACTGCAACCTAATGGCTATGACGCCGTTACTAATCATCTAAATTCCTCTCACCAATCTCTCTCCCTCTTTTTCTTTTGCAAAAATTATCAGTTGACAATAAGTTCCATTATCAATTCTTACAAATTATTGGTTAATTTACTTATATTTTTTGAAAATTGGGAGACCAGATATTCGACGGCCCCTACATCGTTTCCTGTGTGAATATATCAGATCTTAGTTAAACACAAATATTAAGATTAAGATTTAAGATTTTAGGCACCTTGTGGGGAAAGTAGCTGCTAATCACAATCCTTACACTTGAAATATAAATGTCCTCCTATGGCTTTCAATATTCGCATAAGACTCTTTATTTGAAATTTATTCTCTAAGAATTTAAATTATTAATTCATGAATAGGTATAGCAAAACCTCAATTAATCTCTCAACATAAGGTTTTTTGGTTAGAAAGTCATTTCATAAGAACTAGCATTAACTTCTACTCCCTTTTACCCCTTTTTGAATACCGTCATCCACCACACCTATTTTAACTAAATTTGAGTATACCTTAGGGGCCAAGAAAAAGTTACTAATCCTCATCAAACATTTTCCAAAAATGATTCAAAAACTAATTGAATCGAACTATGTTCGAATCGAACTGTTCGTTGAATAAAAAAAATGAAGAATAGAAATTTCAATCAAATCTTCTTCAAATTCAGTTAAATCCTTTGGGGTCTAATCCAAGGTTTCTGATAAAATAAATTGGTTTTATTATTAAAAAAATATGAAAATTCCTCTCCGTGTTATCCTTGATTTAAAAAAATTAATAATTATTTTACACCAGACTGTAGTCATTTTAATCAAATTTCCTTGAAATTAAATCCCTTGGGGTCAAATCCAATGTTTCTGATAAAATAAATTGGTTTTATTATTAAAAACAATTCAAATTCTTCTCCTAGTTATCCTTGAATTTGAAAAAAATAAATCCAAAAAAAATAAATAAATATTGTAATAATTATTTAACACCAGACTGTAGTCAACAATGTAAGGACGTAAGGACCTACGTACAGAATATTTGTTTGATTGTTAGTCTTCTTTTAAGGTTTCTTCTTTTACGCCTTCCCCTTTTTCTTCTCCCTCCCTCTCACACTCTCTCCCTTCCCTTCAACTCTCGCTATTTGGTATTTTTTTGTATTAATCAAAGGTCTGCTAATATTCAACATTTTGTATACATTATTGTATCCTTCTGCCGATGTTGGGCGCCGCTGCCACTGATGTGTCGTACTGTCGCCTTCTTGTGCGTCAAGTATGAATCATTCTTCGGTTGGGTTTGTTGTTTTCCGTTGTTGTTGCCCCAAACCCCCTCCTCTTCAGGCACTTAAAGTGAGTGTGTATGTGTGTTTGTCTGTTTGTGTAGATTTTCGTGGGTTTTCTAACGATGATTAATACGACGAATAGAAGAAGGAAAAAAACTTGAAATTTTTCTTGTATTCGCATTGGGGAAAAACGAATGATTTTTCCATTGAGATGTCACATTTTCAAGTTCATTGAAACAAAAACATATTTTTTTTTTTCTACAGGGAAAAACACAATAATACAAATTATTATTTTAACTTCTGTTTTTTTTTTAATAATTCCCGATTATTCTTTGAGACACTTGAAGTTTTCAATTTTGCACATATGTGTCGTAGGTCTTCTTGGCCTAAGGGTTTTTTTGCATTTTTTCATTAACCAGAATATGTATCCTTTCCTTTTGAAGAAAAATCTGAAATTCTTACAATTATTTTCTGAGCATTTTTTGGATTATTCACCAATGTTTGAAACTTTTGAAAAGTTTTCTTTTTTTTCAAATTTTATTCCAATTGGATTTCCAATTCGATTTTCCACACGGTATATACTTTTTTTCTTCAATTATCTTCACTTGTTTTTTGGGGTATATGCTCTTTATCTGTTTTTTTCTTTTTTTTTGCTCAGCACTCCGCTGCGTTGTTTTACGTTAAATGTGAATAACTCGCAATAGTTTCGTCTCTGCCGTTACTTTCGCTTATGGCCAGAATGAGTGGTGCGTATGTGTCAGTGCCAGTCGTCTCATAATCACCACAACCACCACCGTAAATCGTTATTCCTGCACAGGCGCACTAGCTATCCCACCCCTAGTAAAGCTGCATTTACTTTACCGTTACACCGAATTACAACGTTGTCAACAATGACATACACATTTTATCAACCCTGTTTTTGTTATTGCGCTTCGAGAAAGATTCTGCCATGAGACGCATTTTGACAGTTATGTGGTGAGTATTAATGAAGTGTCAAATTGTCAACTGTTAGTGGGAGTAAAAGCAAGATGTTTTAGAAACCAGTCCATACAAATCTTTCCCTCTTATTCTCTATTTGGTCTTTGTATGAAAAAGCATGAAAAGACATAAAACAGAAGTATTCAGATGCCTCCACACATAAATGTCCAATTTTACATCAATTCGGACACAGTCATATATAATAGGTCTGTCTATTTACTTTTCCCGGAGGATTTATCCAGCAAGTTCTCTTTCAGAAAGCAAGGTAGATTTATTAATTTTTGTAGGAAAATAGTAAAAAGTAAACTGACAGATGCGAATAATATGAAAACAGACTTCAAAATCTTTCATTTTGAAGTTTACCGTGAAGGATAAAACCATTTCTCAATGATTGATTCAGGTACCTCAATATCAAATTCGAGGACCTCAGGCCTATCCCTTCACCAAATAAAAATATTTAGTACTATATAGCACTTTTCGTACAATTACAGTACAAATCTCCAAAACCGTGTTCATATCTGAATTTTAGATACCTCAACCTTAAATTTGATGTTTCCAGCCCCATCCAATACCAAATTTAGTACCATTTTAGTACTTTTCGTACAATTATAGCACACATTTCCAAAACTACCTTCATATCTCAATTCCAAATACAAATAGATGCCTCTATTTGTATTTGGCCTCCAGGCCTATCCCTTCACCAAATATAACAATTTAGTACTGTATAGCACTTTTCGTAAAATGATAGTACCTTTTTTCAAAAATTTAAAATTTCAGGATTCCAGCTCCATCTGCTACTCCAAATTAGTTCGAATTTTCAAAAAACCCTTTACATCCATCATACACTTCATGTCCCTCATTTCAAATTATGGGATTTAGTTCTGATGGTTCGTCAAATGCAAATTGTATTATATTTAGTATCTTTTAGTACTTTTCGTACCGTTCTAGTAAGAATTTTAAAGAACCCAGCGAATGAAATTCAAAGGTAAACGGGAGCTGATGTATGTGCTTCGGGAGTTGACGAGTTAAAGGTAATAGGGAATTACGAGGTTGGTGATGGAATTGTAGAGTTGGGAACTAAGAGGTGGTTTTGTGGGTGATTGGAGTGCAATCAGGAACTCTTCCCATTGCGTTTAGATTGAAGGTCTTCGATTCGTGTATGATGAATAATCAATCAGTACCACTCTTGCGGTAAGCGCCTACAATAGCAAGGCTCTCCTTTCACGCTACAAACTGAACAATATACAGGGTGAGATAAAAAACTGCAATAAAGTCAAACACCGAAGTTTTTATTTTTTTTTTTAAATTTTATTCAATGAAAGCAAAAAATGTCGGAAAGAGCATCAAATTTTAGAATAAGTTTAGATTTGTACGAATTGGTCACCTTTGGCACGAATTGGTCACCTTCAAACGGCCAATGAAACCATCACACGCTGTCCGAATGTTGCTCTGCAGTATTTTGAGTCTATTTTCTTTCTGTTGCGATTTAAGTTCTTGTACTTTTTGGAATTTCAATAGGTTTACCGCGAGCTCATTTTTAAATATTTGCCGAATGGAATATTGCTATCAAATCGCTTCTTTACTTTTCGAACCCTTTCTGCTGATGTTGCTTTTTTTCTTCCGTCCACTTCCTTGACGTCGGGCTACGCTACCAGTATCACGGTACCGAGCGATGGTACGAGATACAAAAGATTTATTCACAATTATATGCTGGAGTGCTCTAACGACAGCCACTTATGGTTTTCCAGCTAAATATAAAGAAATCACACTATCGCCCTTAAATTCCATAACGAATAAATTTTTTTTTTCTGGAAAATTCTCACCAAAATGCTTGTACGCTTGTAAACAATATAATGAGCTGTCACTGTAATAATTTTAACAGCTGTTGGAAATGACAGCAGTCTGAAGTTGGTTGCATTTTTTTCATCCCAACCTGTAGTTCCCAAATTGTGACTACTTCAAAGGTAAGATTCGCATTCAAATAAGGTTCATAGTCGGTATCATGGTACAACAAAAAAGAAAGGTAGAGCTAAAATTAAATTACAATTTTTTTCTAAGTATGCCTGACTTCTGCCAAGTTTGTGTATGCATTTATTGTTTTGAAAAATGGACTTTGCGGGACGCGCATTAAAGCTTCTTGCCAGTTTTGCACATTTTTGAAAGATCAAATTATTTATATCATATTACTGAAAGAAAATCCAGAAATTTAATTTTTTTTCGCTATTTAACTCATTTTAAAAATGAGGAAAAATATCGAATAAATGAAAAAAACTTGTTCCATCCAAAATTGGCAGGAAGCTGGTAATCACGCTACAGTCAAAACGAATTAAGATAGAAAGCTACAATTTTCACAGATCCCTCTTTTGTCTGCAGGCAGGTCAAGTTCGAAGATGGGCTTTATCGTATAGCCCCCATATAACGGTACCCCCAAATATCCGGTATTTTGATGATTTTAGCCACATCTTCCAATGGAATACTCTGAAAATCCACGAGGAGTTCTCTATGAGCACTTTACCCCCTGAAAGATAATTGTCTATATAGGTCCATGATATCGTATAGCCCCATATAACGGTACCTCCCGATATTCGGTATTTTGACAATTTTAGCCACATTTTCCAATGGAATTATCTGAAAATCCTCACAAGGAGTTCCTTGTGAGTGCTTTACGCCTAGACATAGATTTGTCTATGTAGGTCCTCAAAATCGTATATCCCCCCATATATCGGCACCATCCGATATTAGGTATTTTAAAGATTTAAACAGAATTTTTAATGAATTTGTCCTAATTAGTTTCAAATGGTGGAGGGTATTTAAAGTTCGGTCCGGCCGAACTTATTGCTTTTTTAGTTGTTATACATCGGAAAGATGCAATAACTGGCCTGAATATATCTTCTAAGCTATGATGGAGAATAGAGAAATTCATCAACATTAAATAACTGGTTCATGTCTAAGAAACTTCGTTTAAGAGACTCGGTAAGAGCATTATGGCATTACTACGAAGAGAAATTTTGAAGCAAGCAATGTACAAAAAGCTTTTTGTATTTGAAACATTTGAGAAGCTATAATATTTACCATTCTGTATGCTTTGTGTGTTGTCTTTTTGCAGAACTAATGGCTACAGAAGAAAAACCCAATAGCAACAATATTATTAATATTTACTTTGACTATGCAAGATGTTGCCATAAAATAAATTTAATTGCTAACTACTAAAAGTGTACAGACCGTTTACATTAGATTTTTTTTCAAAACTTTTAATTTACGAATATATTTTCAAGACTACGACATATGTGAAAATAAATATATTGAAGATAAGTGACAACGTCTCATTCTTTAGTATTTACCAGCTAATTGTTTACATTTTATATTTTTTCCAACTTTGTACAATACTGTTCTCTTGATAATATATAATCATGGCCTATATAAGGTCGGTCAGTAAGACCATCTGACGACCAAGTTTTTTGTCAAAATATACTCTGAATTCGCCCTATGAAAACAAAAACAAAACTGTGACGTTCTTGTCAACAGATTTCCAAATAATTTAAATTCTTAAAGGAGTTTGAAGACAAATCTATATAAATTGTAAATAAACAGAAAGATTTGTGAATTTTGAAAATGAGAAATTGCCGAATATGCAGAAAGAAGGACGTTCCAAGAAGGGGTACACTTTTTTCGCTTCAAAAGGATGAAATGTCAAAGGCAGAATGGAGTAAAGTTTGCCAGTTAGAATTTAAAGCAACGTCTTCTGTATGCTCTGAACACTTCGACGTTGCTTATATGAAATCTGAAAGAGAATATTATCGCGACAATATTCTGGAGGGTATATGAAAGCCTTGGGCTCGCAAATATTTTGGCCGCAGACCTTGGACATCCAACAGGACTCAGCACCATTGCACTCAGCACGCGCCACCCAAGAATGGTTACAAAATGGAGTTCCTTGCTTCATTTCCAGTGCACGACGGCCAACAAAATCTCCGGATATCAATCCGTTGGACTATTGTGTCTGGAGTATTTTGGAAAGCAAGGTTGGCAATAAAAAAATACCAAAGTGTTGATCACCTCAAGCAAGAGCTTCGCTGCGAATGGGCCAAGATACCGCCGAGCAACATTCAGGCAGTTCCATTGGCCGTTTGTAGTCAATAATTCGTGCCAAAAATCTAAACATATTATAAAATTTGATGCTATTTCCGACATCTTTTGCGTTCATTCAATAAAATGTAAATGTTGTTGTAAAGTATGGCGTTTGACTTTGTTGCAGTTTTTTTTTATCTCAACCTGCATGAATAATTGATATGTATAAAATTTGATACGGCAAAAACGTGTCGCATCGAAACAACGGTTCGAGACCCTAGGTCTCTTTGGACCAAATCCGTTTCAGGACATTTGGGATCGATCTAGAGGTGTCTTGCCGAAGGGAGCCCCCGATTTGGCCTAGAAAACTTAGATCGAGTTCGTAGATGAGCAGTATTGGTCCAATCCTACTGGTTTCTACTTCAAAAAATATCAACCATTTCAAAGAAAATAATTTATCTTATACAGCAAAAACAGGTCATCCAATTTTGTTCAAACTCTCCATATCAGTGCTAGGACGACATCAGTCTACCCTCTCAAGTAGCTCCCTCACAAAGGGTCAACATTTTGAATAATTCATCTATCATAAAATGCAATCATACCTCCCACACAAAAGTCGACATTCTGATACATGATGTTTTCCTTTTAGTGGTTTTCATTTGTTGGAAGTTAACAAATTTGCCGTGATTATTAGATGTC